ATGCCATAGTTAATTGTCAATCTGTCATAGCCTAGAATTTCCTGAAAAGGGGAGTTTCAATCCTTTTTTGAGTGTCTATCAGGTTTGTCTGTAGGAATTCTGTGAGGGGTTTTCTTGATGGAGGAGGGTCCAGTCCACTGTGGGTGGGTGCCATTTTCTGGGCAGGTGGTCCTGGGACATATAAGAAAGCTGGCTGGTGAAGACACTGTGGACTTCAGAAACAGAGCACAGAGACCCCTGAGCTGGAACTGACCTGAATTCCCACTCTCTGAGGACTAGCTTTCATGGTACCGAAGGCACCATGCAAGCTTCCAAAGGAGGGAGGAGCTAATAGTCCTACCCTACCCAGCTATGATGCCTGTGAACCACATCAATGACCAGCATGACAAGATAATCCTAAATGTGCAGTAGTGGCATGCCTAGCTTGGCAATAACCAACAGCTCTCTAATTAGACTTAAGACCCACTCAACAAAAGAGAAATCAAGCCTGGTGCTAAAAATTTAGCTGACCACTTAGTGTTAGTGAAGTTATGATTATTAGAAAAGAATCTACAACCTCTAATTTATGAAATCATCATGATCCCTGACAACAATCTATAAACATTTGTCCTGATACCCATAGATAAGTGTGATCTTCACCCCTCATCAAGGAAATATCTCTTTGTAACGGAGAGGTCACTACAGAAAACCACAACTGATTGAAATGCAGGGCTGTAGTGCCCAACCCCAATGGATTTCACCTCTGTGAAACACTCTTACCACATCTGAGGCTAAGGGAACATTGTCGAAGAGGTGAAAAAAGATTTTGAGAACCAGAGGATCAGGGAGTTTCCTATTAGACAATGTCTCCTAGTAACTTCAAAGGCTACACCCATAAAGTCTCACCATCACGACTGACCAAACATGAAGAGAACAAGAACGACACCAATGGACATGGGAAACTGGATGGGGAAAAGCCCGTGAAGCCTCAACTCTACAAAGAACTATTGGCAAATGAATAAGTTGCGAGCAAGAGAGGTGGTGTTCCCGAAGGAAGAACACAACAACTGACTGCCCAGTGCCAAACAGTGACCCCTGAAAATATAGATACAAATAACATTATATGGAGTGAGCAGATTATATTTAGAAAGATATATGTATATACATGTAATATATGCATACAGTAACAATTAGTAAAAAAAAGAAGCCATGAATTTGGAGGACAGAGGGGAGGGACATATGGGAGGGTTTGGAAGTAAGAAGGAGAAGGGAGAAATGCTGTAATTATATTATAATCTCCAACTTTTAAAAGAAAACAAGCTGATCCATAACCTGATGGCAAGGCTTAATGCTAAAGACAACTTACTATGTCATCAAACAAGGAGAACTCAAACTGATGCCCAAATGGAAGATTCATCCCTACTGACCAGCACGCATGGTGCCGAAAAGTACTTTGTGTGCTACTAGTGGAGAAAACTAACAATCAATTTCACCCAGCTACAAACCATGCAACCTATAATAGTACAGAACCTATGAGATAAACTGGTGTAATGGTAGCACAAATGTTATGGGAGTGACCAACAGTTTTTTTAGATTTGTTTTATTGTATTGTAGGGATATTTGCCTGCGTGTGTGTGTGTGTGTGTGTGTGTGTGTGTGTGTGTGTGTGAGTGTGTGTGTGTATGCACAAGGATCAGAAGAGGCATCAGATCCCCTGGATCAGATCATTGTGAACCACCATGTGGGTACTGAGAATTTAACCCAGGTCCTATGAAAGAGCAGCAAGTACTCTAAACCATTGAACCAATGCTACAACTCCAAAAATTTATGTGTATGAGTATTTTGCATGCATGTATGTCCATGCACTACAAAATACCTGGTACCCACAGAGGTCAGGAGGTGTTAGATCCATTGGAACTGGAGTAATAATAGATGATTTGAGCAGCTATGCAGGTATTGGGAACTGAACCCTAGTCATCTACAAGAGCAGCCAATGCTTTTAATCACTGAGCCATCTCTCTAGCCCTCCAGCCACTTTTTGATTGGATTTAAGGCCCACTCCATGAGATGGAACTCATACATGACACTCCTAAAGTAGTCAATAACCTGAGATTAGATAGGTCCTGAGCGTAGGGGAAATCCTACTACTATTTTTCTGCTACAGTAGCAGAAATAAAATGACCCCTAATGGCAGTTGCTATGCCCACAGATCTCAGAGCATTGTTCAATCCTCATCAGAGAAGCTTGATCCTGTAATAGATATCTAACACAGACATCACAACTGGCAATGTGTAGAGAGTGAGAGACTTTGGAGCACTCAGCTCTAAATGGTATGTCTTTATCAAACCTGTCCCCTCAAGACTGGGTGACCTATGCAGAAGAGGAGGTGGAAAGATTGTAAGAGCCAGAGGTGATGGACGACTCCAAGGAAACAGTGTCTTCCAGACACAACAGGACTGATGCACACATGAACTCACAGAAAGTGTAACAGCACACACAAGACCTCCACAGCACACAAAATCCCAGCACTGAAAGGGGAAGCAGACACAAAGCCTCACCCTTAACCATGAAGCTATTTACAACTGATACCTGCTGGGAAAGGGAAAATAATTTTTCTCCACCAGAGTGTCCCTCAGTGTATCAACCACACTCCAAGGCAGGCCCCATTCTCAGGAATAGTTGACCAATACAATAAGATTTTGTTTGTTTTGGGGATTTTTTGTCTTACTGATTTTCTTTTTTCTAGTTTGTCTTTATTTTCATTTTTTTGTTGTTTTTCTTGTTTTATTTTTAGAGAGAAAACATGAAGTTGGGTAAGTAGGGATGTATCCTATGCTTACACACAATTTTCATTTAATAATCCATGTATTCTGTAAGCATCATGGTAGTTGTTAGGTTTTGGTTTTTGTTTTTGTTTTTTACTCTTTGCTCTTTGGTTCTTTGTTCTTTGCTCTTTTGGGTGTCCACCACCCAGGTCCCAAAGTAATACATAGTCTTATTCTTACTTATGAATGCCCAGTCTTAGCTTGGCTTGTTTCTAGCCAGCCTTTCTTAACTTAAATTAACCCGTCTACCTTTTGCCTCTGACTTTATCTTTCTCTATTGCTGTGTACTTTTCTTTACTTCTTACTCTGTGATTGGCTGTGTAGCTAGGTGGCTAGACCCTGGAGTCCTCCTCTCCTTCTTTTCTTGCTCCTTCTCCTCCTTTCTAATGTTCTTCTTCTATTTATTCTCTCTGCCTGCCAGCCCCACTTATTTCTCCTGCCTCACTATTGGCCTGTTCAGTTCTTTATTAGATAAATTGGGTTTCTTTGTGTAGTTTTGGTGCCTGTCCTGGATCTCGCTCTGTAGACCAGGCTGGCCCCGAACTCACAGAGATCCTCCTGGCTCTGCCTCCTAAGTGCTGGGATTAAAGGCGTGCGCCACCACTGCCCAGCCTCAATCAGGTATTTTAGACAAAGTGACACAGCTTCATTCACAGAGTTCAACAAAGGCAGCACAGAAGACTGCAACACATCTTTGCACCATTAAACAAATAAAAGTTCCATGGCATAAACAGATGTAACACATCCTAAAATAATATTCTACAACACATCACTATCTACCCATGCAAGGTGATTCCATTCAAAATATATATAATCTATGTAATATGTTTCCATGAATCTTGACAAATGTATTCACAATGGAAACACACCACAAAGTCTTATTCTTACTTATGAATAAGTAAGTCTTAGGCAGGGGATACCTCCCCTAAAAGTCTGTGATCAGGGAGACCCTAGAGAGCTCCAAAGCAACACAAGCTATTGCATTGTCCTTGATTACCCACCATACTACACAGCAAGAGCCTCCTAATGAAGACACTGCACATCTGGCTGCAGGACATAGAGAAATCAGTCACAAACTGACGGTGAAACTTCCTCCCTGCTGGCTAGCTTCCATAGTGTTTGCAGGTCCTATATAAGCTGCTGTAGGGGGAAAGGACATCAATGGTCTTATCCAGTGCTGGGCCCCAGATGCTGCAATATCAGCCTCCCAGGGAATCTTTGCCTACTGCTACAGTAGTGACCTGACTGTTATGGGGTAACTAACCAATTTTTAATTGGATTTAATTCTCTCCCACAGGTGAAAATTTTATGCCTAATATTGTAATCCAGTCAAAATCCAATGGCTAGGGAAGTCATGGGCTCTAGAATAGAAACTACTTTTGTTACTTTGCTAAATGGTCATGCTCTCAAAATGCCTTCTAGATATTTGAGTTCATACCCATTGACCTGGGCTGCTCTTAACCTTGGTCAGAGAATCTTCTTTTTGCAATAGGCAGGAATCAATGGAGAGATACATAACTGAGAATAAGAGACTGAGTGTTCAGCCCTAAACTAGACATCTATATCAACCTCTCCCCAAACCAAGAACATCGCGTGCGTGCGTGCGTGCGTGCGTGCGTGTGTGTGTGTGTGTGTCTGATTTGTGTGAGATTTGAGGAATCTTCCAAGGTTGTTCTCTACATTCTTTGAGACCAAGACTCACTCACTGGTCCTAAAGCTTATCAATTCAGGTAGGCCAATGAGTTTCAAGGATTCACCTGTCTCCACCACTCCTACTCTAAAGGGGGGATACAAGCTCCAGCCACTATGCCTTTTTCTTTTCTTTTCTTCTCTTTTCTTTCTCTTCTTTTTTAATTCTTTTTTTTTGTTTGTTTGTTTGTTTGTTTTAACGTAGGTTCTGGGGATCCGAACTCCGATTTCCGTGGGAGATTTTTTACCTACTCCCAGCTCGGCAGCCAGAGTTAAGTGTATTCTAAAACCAAGTCTTCATTCCCCGTGCCCTAGATTGTGACTGCATCCTACGTAGGGAAGACCTGGGCCGTTAAACAGCTCTTAAAAGGTTTTACGGACGACCAGGAGGACAGAGACCTCACCAAGCCGCAGCATTTTCAGAGACCTCACCTCGCCAGCTCCCAGGCTCTGGGGGGGAGGGGGGGAACCCAAGGGTGGTCCCGCCTCCTCCCCTGCCAATCAGCCGTTCCTCGCGCCTGCGCGGAGCGGCGCCCGGGCGGCGGCGGGCGAGCGGTTAGAACCGGGAGCCCTGCTCTCCCGGGCCTGCCGGCTATGACGATCACCTACAGCTGCGTGGCTCATGGCCGAGCGGTCCTGGCGGAGCTGGCCTTGACCGGCGGCTCCTATCAGGTACCTCGGCGTCTGAGGGTTCGGCTCCTCGAGGCTGGCGCCCGCGGGGCCTCCCCTCGGGACGCGCGGCGACCTCGAGGGACTCTGGGGTCGGGAGGCCCCGCGCGTGCGCCGCCCGGGGGTTCGGCCTGGTACTGCAGGCGGGCAGAACCCCCGAGTAAGGAAAGCCAGGGCCACCCTGACAGCGCTGCTTGGCTGGCGTCCCACCCACCACCCAGGGTGGGAGGGCCATGAATTTGAGGTCAGCATGGACTGCACAGACCTGCTCCAAAAAAAAGTGAGAGCGGAGAGTGTAGGGCAAGGTTAGAGCACTTGCCTGGATCATGTGAGGCCCTGAGTTCAGTCCCCAGCGCGCGCGCGCACACACACACACACACACACACACACACACACACACACACACACACCCCTTCCCTAAAACTTGTCAGATGTCATCTAATATAGTGTCTGGACCTTAGAACCATACAATTGTCCTAGAGGGTAAAAGGTGTTTCACTGCAGTAGGCTGTAATGCCCCTCCCTGTACAGAGAACTACTCCTAACCTAACACAGGAAAGGGGAATGAAAAGACCACAGAGAAAACACCGTGGTATTTGGAGATTTCCAAGAACCTCGTGGTGGCTAGGGCACAGAGAGTCTCTTCGCAGTGGCTGGAGATGAGGCCAGAAAACTGCAGAGGATAATAGAGGGTGTGTGTGTGTGTGTGTGTGTGTGTGTGTGTGTGTGTGTGTGTGTGTGTCCTGGAGAAACTGGGGAGCAATTAAAGATGTACAAATGAAAGTACAGGCGAAGATGACTTGGTTACAACATATAAGGCGGGTTGGGAGGGAAAGAACCCATTAAGAGGATATGGTTGTAGTTTATAAACAGACTCAAGGCTCTGAGCTAAGGCAGTCGTGGTACAGGTGTCCAGGAGCGGCAGTTCTAGAAGAAGCTTGGTAAATGCCCTCTAGCCTTGACACCTGGTTGAATATGTGGAATGCGGGGCGACTCTCACAATGTTTTTCTTTGGTGGCATTAAACAGAGAGAGAGAGAGAGAGAGAAAGAGAGAGAGAGAGAGTGAGTGTATGAATGGGATTTAGGGGACTCAAGACAATGCAGAAGGAAGGCTACATTACAGTTAAGAACATGCTGAATTGCCGGGTGGTGGTGGTAGTGTACGCCTTTAATCCCAGCACTAGGGAGGCAGAGCCAGGCGGATCTTCGTGAGTTCGAGGCCAGCCTGGTCTACAGAGCGAGATCCAGGACAGGCACCAAAACTACACAGGGAAACCCTATCTCGAAAAACCAAAAAGAAAAAGAAAAAAAAATTCAATACATTGTACATGTTTACTTTTCTGCCTTATTTCTGAGAGCCAGAATTGGCCCAGGAGGTCATGAGTGTGTTAGTCTAGGACCCAAAAGGCTGGGTCTGGCAGGTAAAATAAGAGAAGTGTGTCAGGTTGCCCAGGAAGTGTGCAGTGAACGAAGGGAAAAGTGGAGCTCTCAGAGTGTGAAGTGGTGGGTTAGGGTCACTGGGTCAGACAACGGGCAGGTGACTGACAGCCATCCTGTGAGGCCTTTAGAAGAAACAGTAGAGGCAGCAGCCAGATTGCTTCGGGCCAGCTGAGCAGGAAATGAGACCACTCTGTCTGAAATTTAGGTAGGAAATGAGGAAGAGTGGAAGCGGCTTGTTGATGGATAGAGACATCCCCACATACGTTACCCTTATGGAAGGGATATGTGTGGGTTAGCGGAGCAAGGCCTGAAGGGCACAAAGGGCCAGCGAGAGAGGCCTGAGCCTTGGTCAGGGAACAGCCTCTGGCCCTGAGGAGAAAGAGGGGGTGTGGGTGTGGGGCATCACTTCAGCCTCCTGAAGTCCTCCTCCTGGCCAATCCCTCACACACTGGGATTCCTTCTCACCTTCACATAGACATTCACACCCGTGACATCCGTCCGCTTCCAGAATCGGATGGCCTCATAACAGACAAAACTAAGTTTCCTTCCTACAGGTTTGTCCTCATGTGCATCCGATCTCGTTGGGGTTCCCTATTGAGACACTCGGGGTGCGGACTGGGAGTCACCGGCCATCTTTTCTCCTTTTCACCTTCCATCTGTTCATCTCTCACCTGTATGCTCTCTCTCTTTCTGAACCATGGTTTCCTTCCAGCCCTAATTACTTCCCACCAAGCTTACTGAAATGCCTGTTGGCTTGTCTACCTCAAAAGCTGCTCACGTGATCATTCCCCCAAAATACCTACAATCATGCCACTCTCCCGCACACCACATTTGGTGGCCTCTGATTACATTCAGAATAAAGCAAGCCCTCCTCCCCTGGCAGTCGGCCCCTCCCTGAGGGATGGGCTTCCCGTGGCTCTCTCCTTCCTTCATACAGTTGCCCTGTCCCCTGCTGTCCTGAACTTCACACTGCTTTCTCACCACGACCCCCAAGGTTGTCGCTCTTTCTTACCCCTCTACCTGGAGACCGCTTCTCTCCACTTTGCGGCAGTACACTCTCATCTGTACTTTGAAAGTTTTCTCCTTTTTCCTTGACTCTATGCCTACACTAACTGGCATCTCTCTCCCAAACACCTTGACCAAGCTGAACTGGAGTCTTCTTTCCCTTGCTGTCTCTGCTGTCAGATTTCAGGACAGGGAATGCTTCATCTCTGTCTCCCCGGTCGAATACAAAGCCTAACCACACAGTGAGTTCTCAACACGCCCTATTAAGAGGAGAGAGCAGTGAGGTCAGCAGAAGTCAAATGGCCTCCCTTTGGAAGCACACTGGAGGTAAGAACACAGGAGAGGGAGCAGTCTGCAATCCAGGAGTAAATTACAGGTGCAGGATGCCCGCTGTGCAGAAAGCTAACCAGAGAAGGGAAAATACAGCATGGGGCTTTAAGAGACGGTTAGGACGAGAAGGAAAGAAATGTATCATGGCTTCCCTCAGTGCCTAAGATATTCTCCCTCCCAACCTCTCTCTCTCTCTCTCTCTCTCTCTCTCTCTCTCTCTCTCTCTCTCTCTCTCTCTCTCTCTCTCTCTCTCTCTCTCACGCATCACAGGAGCCAGCCACTGTTACAGGTTCTGGGTTAGACTGGCCTCTGGGAGTCACGTGCTCACACTCTTGACCCAGGCAGGTCAGTGGCTCTGCAGCATAGGAATTTCCAGACACGAGAGCACATGCTGTCATTTGTTTTCAGTCTTGCTGTGATATCACAGTTTATATTATGCACAAGAGGCACTTGGGGGAAGCTACAGAAGTGTGTTTCATTACTTATAGGAAAGCAACAGAAAATAATTTTTCAAGTGTCTTAGGAAATTCTGTCCCAGAGAATGCCTCCTTGACGTGGCAGGCTGTAGCAATTACTTTCTACCATTAATAGGCTTTACGTGCCCATAAAAGTTTCTATTTGAAGTGTTAGTTTGTGAAAAATGAATGTTAATTAGGAGTGTGACTATCTAGGACTTTTTTAGGTAACTCTCAGATTCCTTTCATGCTTCTAAATTAAAATAATGGGATTCCGCTAATGGACGACGAGGTGTTCTGCATAATTATAGTACCTTAAATCTCTCCCCAAGGACTCACCCTTACAAGGAGTAGGCAGGCACAAGCGTTCTTGGCCAATGTTACTTTGTAAAGAGAGATAGTGGACTGGTGAAGGGGCTTGGTGGATGACGGCACTTGCTCTCAAGCCCAGGGACCTGAGTGAGAGCCCGGGAACCCACCTAAAGGGAGAGGGAGAGAACCGACTCCCAGAAGTTACCTCTGAACTCCGCCCGAGAGCCACTCAGAGTCACAGGATGCACCCCACAGACCCATACAGATAATAAATGATTTCTAAATATTGATGGAACAGTCATGAATAAGAGTTTGCTAAATGTACTCAGAGAATAAGAGATGAATGTTCTTAATCCATTAACAATTTATTTATAGTTTGGGACCAAGGAGATGGCTTGGTGGATAAAAGCACTTGCTATGCAAGTGCAAAAACCCAAGTTCAAGTCCCCAGAACTCAAGTAAAACCATACACACAGCTTGAGAACATCTGTAATCACAGTGCTCCTGTGAAGAGATGGGAGACAGAGGCAGGAGAATGCCCAGAAGCTCGTGTGTGTCTCTGACACACCTGCTGTGGTATTCACATACACATACAACTTGTGTGTGTGTGTGTGTGTGTGTGTGTGTGTGTGTGTGTGTGTGCAACTGTATGTATGAGAGGTGTATGCTCACATGTATGTGTTCAGAGGCCAGAGGAAGGCATCACTACACCTTATTCTTTTTGAGGCAGAGTCTTTCCCTAAACTTGGAGTTCGAATTTTTTTCAGCCAGGTTGGCAGCCAGCAAGCCATAGGGGTCCCCCTTTCTCCCTCTTTCCACCCCTGCACCTATATGGGCACACCTGGGATCATTCCTGGCTTCTAACATGAATGCCGGGATCTGAACTGGGGTCCTCATGTTTACACGAGTGCGCGTGACAACTGAACCATCTCTCCAGCCCCAAAACATTTTACATACAGTTTTTCTCAGCTGACTGACATTGGAAAGATACTTGAGGGGTTAGGGATTTAGCTCAGTGATAGAGCACTTCCCTAGGCCCTGGGTTCAGTCCTCAGCTCTTGGGGGGCGGGGGGGACAAGCTACTTGATTGGCTCTGCTTCCCAGGCTTAAAGCCAAACACAAGATCTCCCTGTAAAGATAAGGCTATCTAGTGCAGCCTATATTCATGTACTTACATATGTATATGTGACGTAGTTTCCTTTAACTCATGCCATTTTTTTTTTTTTTTTTTTTTTTGGTTTTTCAAGACAGGGTTTCTCTGTGTAGTTTTGGTTCCTGTCCTGGATCTCGCTCTGTAGACCAGGCTGGCCTCGAACTCACAGAGATCCATCTGGCTGTGCCTCCCAAGTGCTGGGATTAAAGGCGTGTGCCACCACCGCCCAGTTTCATCAAAATATTTTATGGCATCTTGCCTCTGATCACTCATGAGTCATACCAGTTAGTTCTCTTAGGAAAGGGGTTTTTCTTATAAACCAGTCAGAACATTGGTAATTTTAGGAGGAAAATACTGAAGAGACACAACAATCTTCTGCAAAATAAACACTGACTTTTTCCCCCAGGAAGCAGCGGCAAAGGTACTCAGGCAAGTGCTCCTGAAAGCCGAGCCAGCGACCATAATTCACATAGGAAGGTAAGGGACACGCTGTCGTGGGTCTCTTCTTCACTGAGGTTCAGCTAACAATTCTAACATGAGCCAGCGACCATAATTCACATAGGAAGGTAAGGGACGCGCTATCGTGGGTCTCCTCTTCACTGAGGTTCAGCTAACAATTCTAATGATGACATGAGGAGAAGAACAGTCACTGTGCACACCAGGGCCTGGCCTCACCGGAGGGAGGAAAGGATAGCACGATGAATGGGAATGATAGCTACTGAATTTAGGGTCACGGTACCTGTGCAGGGAGATGGGAGGACCTGCAATGCCGAGGGGGTGTAGTGACATCACTATCTGCAGTGCCCTAACTGGACAGTGGGGCTGAAAGAGGGCCCTGTTATTTGTCAGAAAAAAAAAGAAACTACTTTAAAATATATTTAGTCATATCAAGAAGAATGGCCACTGTCATTAAATTTTACTTGGATATTACATATATTCTAAACCAGTCTTGAAACCCTAGTTCAGAAACAGGTGGGTGAATCGAGAGCATTTGTTATTTTAGGTTGCTTGTTGCTGTTGGTGTTTGAGACAGGGTAGCCCAGGCTAGCCTTGAACTCATGACAGTTGTCATGCCTCAGCCTCCCAAGCACTAGAAGTACTGGTGTGGGTCACCATGCTTGGCCAGTCTTTCAGGTTTTTGTTTGTTTTGTTTTGTTGTTGTTGTTGTTGTTGTTTGTTTTGTTTTGGGGGTTTTTTGGTTTGGTTTGGGTTTTTTTGGTTTTTGAGACAGGGTTTCTCTGTAGTTTTGGTGCCTGTCCTGGAACTCGCTCTGTAGACCAAGATGGCCTCAAACTCACAGAGATCCACCTGCCTCTGCCTCCCGAGTACTAGGATTAAAGGTGTGAGCCACCGTCACCTGGCTAGTCTTTCAGCTTTTTAAAAAATGAGTTTTTTAAACTGTCAAAAAATAGTTACAAAGAATAAATTCAGGCCAAGTGCACTTGTGGTCCCAGCTACTCAGGAGGCTGAGGCAAGAGTTCCTGACCTGAGTCCAGGAGTTCCAGACCAATATGGGAAGCGTAGCAAAATCTGTGTCCAACAAAATAAAAATAAGAAAAAAAGCATTTAGATTTTGAAATAACTGTGCCTAAAAAGCAGTACCCTGCCAGCCACCCAAAATCTCCCCATCGTGTGTTTGGTCCCATTCACTACTTCCTCCCTTTCTGAATATCAGCCATCATTTCTGCTTCCTCGGGGTCACAGTTTCTTCATTGCCTCTGTACCCCCAAAATGCATCCTCAGTGACAGGCCAGTCCTGCCTTTTCCCAGTTTCATTTCTTCTAAGCTCCTTCCATCCCTTTCCTTACAGATTAATGCTAAAGAATTTATAGTTTCCCATAGTCTGGGTTTGCTGACTGCTCACACACAAGCAGCAGGGTCCAGAGGCTCAATCCTCAGCAAGACTGTTGGTGTTTGATGGTGTTTCATATCTTATTACATTTCCATTTGAGATGTTAGCAGCCATCCACACTCAGTTCCCAGTGCCTAAAACCTTCCATATCTTTGATTTTTCTCTCTTCTGTATCCAAATCCATCTATCAGCAAATCTTGTGCTTTTCCCTTCCTAATAGTAACAAGCCACCGTCATCTTTGTCTGGGCTGTGCAAAACGAAGTCATTTTTCTCATTTTGTTTTATTTCTAATGACTGTACCTTTAAAAGCCTTCACTGAATAACATCTATACTTACACAAAACAAGGGGTGCTTCCAAAGTGAAACCCACAAAACAAGTTTCCTTCCAGAGTCTAATCTCATTCCTGTTTTCTACACACTGCTCTCCTCCTGCCTCTAGACAGATAAGCTCCTTGAACAAGGTTTGGGTTTGAGATTTCCCTTTGTTTTTCCTTCCTTTCCCACCAGGAATGCTCCTTTAGGAATGTGTTATGTAACGAGTCCAGGCATTCATACTTCTCTCCCTGTAGCATGTGTGAGTGGGAGACTTTAACGTGCTCTGTCAGTTCACATATATCCTAGATACCAAGTGTTTGCATTGTGAATGTTAAAAATAGCCTCCAGATGTTCCTCCTAACCTTCTAAGCATGAACTGAAAATAGCTCTCCTTCTCACGTCGGGTGTCCCGATCCAATAGCTAAAGCACACACTTGCTGCAGTGGATAGTGGAAGCAGCTGTTCCTTTTCATCAGCTTCTTCCAGAACCATTAAACACAACCCAGGTATGGTCGCTTAGGCCTGAAATCCCAGCACTGGAAGACAAGGGCAGGAGCATGGAGCGTTAGGGCTAACCTGGGTGGCACATTTACTCATATGATCTGTTTCTTGAATTTCTCATCTCACGGACATCCATTTTAATATTTGGCCGTATCTGCTGCCCATTAACCATCTGGAGATGCTTTATTCCAAAAGACTGAAGTCTAGGCACCAAGCAGTGAATGATGGAGGTGTTCCCCAAGAACCTGCCAAGAAGTTGGCATTGTCGGGATAAAGCATACTTTAGCAAACTGTGACAAGTTTGTCCTGCCCTCTAGACACTTGGCATTGATAGTTCACAGCTTCAAATTCTAACCCATCAGAATGGAAAGCCAAGAAGTGCACAATTAACTATGTCTACCTAAAAAATGTATGGAGAGGAAAAGTTTGTGCACACAGTATTCTACTTGGTCAGATTATTTAATAATGTGATAATCAGATCATCACATTTCTTCTTTAATATAATCTCTTTGCATTGATGCAATTTTAAGTATATATTTAAATTGTATACACTTTTGATTTAACATAGTTTTTCAAATACACGAAAGCTCTCCTAGCTGTATGTGCTGTGCAGCACATCTGTAATCACAGTACCTGAGATGCCAAGGTAAGAGGACTGCTGTGAGTTCAAGACCAGCCTGAACCACATTGACCAGCAATGCCCTGCCTTGAGAAACCAAAAAGTTACCTGTCTTTTCAGGTGTAATAGTACATGCCTGTAACCTAAGCACTTGGGAAGCAGTACTGTCAAAAGTTTGAGGCCAACAGAAGCTGCACAGCAAGTGGAAGGCCAGCCTGGGCTACATAGTGAAGTGGAAGGCCAGCCTGGGCTACATAGTGAAGTCCTATCTCAAAACTAAAAAAAGATATATATATACATATTTTTTTTTTTTCTTCCCAAGACAGGGTTTCTCTGGGTAGCTTTGCACCTTTCCTGAAACTCGCTTTGTAGACCAGGCTGGTCTCGAATTCACAGAGATCCGCCTGGCTCTGCCTCCCAAGTGCTGGGATTAAAGGCGTGCACCACCACTGCCCGGCTTATGTATATATTTTTTATACCGCAGAGACTGCTTGTAAATGAAAAACAAGTAACTCAGCGTGTTGTACTCAATTTCTTCAGTATTATAAACAGATGCATTCTTTTCAAAGCTACGTCTACCATACTCTCTTTATTGACGGAATCACTTATTTATGTGCTACAGACAATGGCTTGGATTCTATGGCACCATCTGCATTTCTTAAAAAAGTAAGTAACTGTCTCTACTGCTGTGCTGACATTTAAGCTGCTGAAATTAGGAGGTCTCTGTCCTACGGGTCATTAGTAGGTTTTTTTGGTCACTAACCAAAAACGGGTTGCTCATCTCCTGCCTGTTTGCAGAGTCCTTACTGACCTCAGAGACTTAGCCCCATTCTTTGTCTGTCTCCTGACTCCTTAAAGCCCCCACCTCGAAAAATAGAGTCTACAAAGGCCCTCCACTGAGATCTATTAGAACCTCTCCTTTTGCTGGGCGGTGGTGGCGCACGCCTTTAATCTCAGCACTCGGGAGGCAGAGGCAGGCGGATCTCTGTGAGTTCAAGGCCAACCTGGGCTACAGCGTGAGTTTCAGGAAAGGTACAAAGCTACACAGAGAAACCTTGTCTCGAAAAACCAAAAAAAAAAAAAAAAAAAAAAAAAAAAAAAAAAACCCAAGAACCTCTCCTTTTATATTCATTTTCTTTTTAAACTTAAGAAAGAAATTAAACTACAGTAACACATATAATTCATAAATATGCATAGGGATGTCAGTGACCAAAAAATTTTAGAACAATATTCTAGAGATACTCCTGTTATAGTATATAAATCAATTATAGGAGCTAAATGAAAGTAAATATTAATTTGGAGGTTTTTATTCTTTGAGGGTTTCATACATGCATGCAGTGTATTTCAATCATATTCAGTTCCTACCCTCCCCAGCTACTGATAGATCCCCCAGCACATTACACACGAGAAACAGTGTTTTAAATAAAAATATATTATCTCTAGGGAAAATGTGAACAGAATGGCCAGCAAATATACACTATGGCAGAGTGAGACGTCGCGCATTTCGGAGGGGCTAACTGCAGTAGATCCCACCTGTCACTCCATGTCTGAGCTCAGCCAATAGGAGACTTCAGAAAAGGCAGTCTAAAGACAGATGCTAATCACTGTCCTGGGGGTTTCTATGGGAGCTTCTTATTTTTATTTCTTTTGATGTTCATTTTATGTGTGTCAGTCTTTTGCCTGCTTGTACATAAGTGCACCACATGTGTGCCATCCCCATGGAAGTCAGAAGAGGTACAGATCCGCTGGAACTGTAATGACAGATGGTTGTGAGCCACCATGTGGGTGCTATAACTAGACGGTCCTCTGCAACAGCAGCAAGTGTTCGTAAACGCTGAACCATCTCTCTAATCCCTCTTCCTCATTTTTGAACGTAAATGTTCCTAATCTTCTGCCCCCACTGTTACTGTGTAGAAAGCTGGAGGGTAGTTCTCTCTGCACTGACAATGGCCAGAGAGGAAAGCATTTCAGTCATTTTGCTGAATGTACCCTAATTCTCTTCTCTCTGCCCTTTACAACAAAACATCCCAACTTTACCACCCTTCTGAAAACCAGGTGACGCAAAACTGCTAACCAGGTCATGTTTACCAATATTTCTGAGAGGTGTATTATGAAGTACAGAGGTATTGAAACTTCTTATGACTAACATTTGATAGAAAGGCATGGCGCTTAGCATTGTTTTGTGATTTCTGAGTTGATTTTTGAAGTCAAGGGCAGGAGAGAAAAATGATAGCACAATTTGGAAGATGTCCCAGGTCTCCCCTTCCATGTCCTTGGATACCCCAGTGGAAGAAGAGAATACCTGCAGTCAGACTCTGTGGATCTCTGGTTTGTACTAGAACTCTGGAGAAGCCTTGCCACACACAGTGTTCATAACTGCCATGTCTTAAAGAAGAAAAGATGCCCTGCCACCAAAAAGCCCCCAATGTTTCAAGTTTCTGCCATGTTTTGCTTCAAATGAACATTTTTCTGTTGTTCTCCACTTGGAATTAGCCATACAGGTTACATATTTCCATTAATTTCCCCAGGTTAGTGATATTTTTACAAGAAATCCTTTGATGTCACAAGAACATTTTTTCCCTTCAAATGCACTTGCTACAGATTTTCAACAAATACTAGCACAGCACATGGTATGTACCTCAACTTGTATCCTAAGCTCATCGATGCTACTGACCAGTTGGTTGTCAGAGTGGGAGGGAAGTGTTGTAGGGTGCAAAGGTTCATGCTGGGGGTGTCTGCAGAGCAGCAGACAACACAGCTCATGCTACGGTCATTCACCATTCTTAGACACAGCCATTTCAGAAAGAGGGAATAAATACAAACACGTATTTGCTTATTTTAGTTTAAAAGTAAAAGAATAAACCAGAAAGGCTTAAATAGTTGCCTGGATGGAATTAGGGAAAGAAGGGTTGAGCTGTCAGAGAGGGAAACTAGGCCTCTCTGTCTAAAACCTGTGTCAAGGGCTGGAGAGGGGGCTCAGCAGTGAAGAGCAACCACGTGGTGGCTCACAACCATCTCTAATGGGATCTGATGCTCTCCTGACATAACGTTATCATGTAGATGGAGCACTCAGATATATAAAATAAATCTTTTTTAAAAATAAAATAAAACCTGTGTCAAAAACTTGACTGTGTTTTAAAGATTTATTTATTTATTATGTACACAGAAGAGGGCACCAGATCTCATTACAGATGGTTGTGAGCCACCATGTGGGTGCTGGAAATTGAACTCAGGACCTCTGGAAGAGCAGTCAGTGCTCTTAACCTCTGAGCCATCTCTCTAGCCCCCCAAAACTTGACTTTTTAACCATGTGAATATTTTAATTGCCAGGCAGATCTCTGTGAGTTCAAGGCCAGCCTGGGCTACAGAGTGAGTTCCAGGACAGGCACCAAAACTACACAAAGAGACCCTGTCTCGAAAAACAACAGCAACAACAACAAAAAAAAAATACTATTAAATTAAAATTTTAGAACTCCTTATTTGTGAGATAAGATGTCATTAAAGGGCAAAGATTCTAAAATTCCATTTACATGAGACAACAAGAATAATTAAATTGCTTGAGCTAGGAAGTGAAGTATGACTGCAAAGGTGGAGAGGAGAGGGAGTGGGCAGTTGATGTTCATATATATGTCCGCATGTTCAATTCAGGAAAAAACGAGAAACCTACAGGTGAATGATGATGCCCATCACCTGACAGTAAAATGTACCAATGCCACCAAACCGCACACCCGAAATAATTACAGAGCAGAAGAAGAAAAGGAGAAGGAGGAGGAAGAAGGAAAGGAGGACAAAGAAGAGGAAGAAGAGGAGGAAGAAGAGGAAGAGGAAGAAGAGAAGAAAGAGGAAGAAGAGAAGAAAGAGGAAGAAGAGGAGGGGAAGGAGGAGGAAGAGGAAGAAGAGGAGGGGAAGGAGGAGGAAGAGGAGGAGGAGGAGCAACTAATAAAGTTACCACAGGAATTAGTAACCATCTCTCAGTAACAGCCTTACGTGTAAATTGCCTCTGCTTAGACTGCCTGACTAGATTTAAAAACTAGGTCCACCTCCCTGTGCTCTGCAGGAAATACAGCGCACTGGTAAAGACACTCATAGACAGAGGCAATGGGTGGGAAGCAATCTGTCAAGCAAATGGAAATTGGAAACAAGCTGGCATAGCTAGTCTGATAAAGCAGACTTCAGACCAAAATTAGCCAGAAGAGATAAGACCACTGCATATTAATAAAGAGACCAATTCATCATCAGAAGATAGAAGAATTATATATGCACCAATTTTATAAAGTAAATACTAATGGACATAATATAATAATAGTGACTTTGTTACCCACTTTTGTCTCTAAATATGTCATCTAAACTCAAAATTGACAAACCTCAGATGGTATTGCACCATAGGTCAAATAGACTTAATAGAAATGTATAGAACATTTCCATCCGACAAACAGAGCACACATTCAACACATGGAACCTTCTCTAAAACACACCATTTTCTAGACCACACATCAACTCTTAACAAATACAAAGGAAGTAATCTCTCACATCTTTCCAGATCACACTGAGACAAAAAAAAAACTACAGTAACAAAACAACTACAGAAACAACACAAAGACATGGATATTGAACAATATACTCGTGAATAATCAGTGAAGAAATCATAAAGGAAATCTTCAAGTTCTTAGAAAAAAATCAAAATGAAAGTATAGCTACCAGAATCTTTGGGATATAGCTAAGACAATTTTTTAATATTTTTAAATTTTGTTTATTTATTAGTGTTGGGTCTTATGCATGCTAGGCAAGTACTTGACCAGTGAACTAAACTCTAAGGCAACTCGAAGAAGAACGTTTATAGCTCTGGGTGCTTACGTTGAAAAATCTGATCTCAGTGAGAGGCCTCGGCAGATAAAGGCACGTGCCCGCAAGTCTGATAAACCCACGTTCAAGCCCCAGAACTTACACAGTGGAAGGAGAAAACCTACTCCTACAAGTCTCCTTTGACCTCCACATGTGTGCCATGGTGCATGCTCTCATAGAAAAAAAAATAGTTTAAAACTTGAAAAATGATTTCAAATAAATGACCAATTTACATACATGTGTTTGTAGGTCATGACACTAGAAAGGGCTGCAAAGGAAGAGGAAACTATCTTAATGGAAAGAGTAATTAAATAATAGGAAAGCAAGTCAGGAAGGGGGACTCATGGAGGGCAGGAAGAGAAAGAGAACCAGCGGAGGCGGGGAAGGGGAGACGAGAGTATAATGCCACATGTGTGAAGATGTTACGATGAAGCCCAACTTTGAATGCTAACCCAAAACAGTGACTAAAAAATAAAATTCAAAACAAAGGCAGAAGGAAAACAAGCTATTCCTGAGTCTATAAATGTGGTGAGTCAGCCTCATCACCAGGTCAGGTAATGCTGGCAGCAGTGACATCTCCGTGGGGACAGCAGTCACTCCGCCTGGGTACCTGGCTGCAGAGGGCAAAGGGAGAGACAGCCAACACCCCGGAGGCAAGGAAGCAAGCGGGGCTCTGAGCTATGACATGGCAGTGACGATGGAGAACTTGGCAGCCAGACAAAGGAGGGTGTAGGGTTCAGTGGTTAATGTAGGTGTCAGGATGCCCCCTGTTTAGGCCAAAGAAGCAGGGGCCTTTAGGTTACATGAAGATTAGGGACAAGAGGGACACTATGAAGTGACAGTTACAGACTTGTCTACTCAAAACTCTCTTCTGTGCAAAGTCAGTAATGATTTTCTGAAGTCTTGTTTCGGAATAGTTCATGTTGCCATAGTTATTTGAAATCATCGGGTAAAAAACGCATAAGTTATTTTTGATGGAAATAAGAGAAAAGAAATGACATGGAAGAACTTAAAATACATATTAATAAGTGAAAGAAGTCAATGAAAAGGCAAGCCGGGCGGTGGTGGTGCACACCTTTAATCCCAGCACTCGGGAGGCAGAGACAGGCGGATCTCTGTGAGTTCGAGGCCAGCCTGGGCTACTAAGTGAGTTTCAGGAAAGGCGCAAAGCTACACAGAGAAACCCTGTCTCGAAAAGAAAAAAAAAAAAAAAAAGAAGAAAGAAAGGAAGAAAGAAAAGAAATGGCTGCATTCTCTACTGTTCAGATTATGTGACGCTCCAGAAGTCATCACACTGCACATGAGTATCTGTGGTTTCCAGGGCTGTGGGGACTAAACAGTAAAAACAATAGGAGGTCAGAGGGTTTTCCTGGCCAGAAAACTAATCTGTATGACCTTTAATAATAGACGTAGTGGGACTGGAGAGATGGCTCAACAGTTAGGAGCACTTGATGCTCTGGGAGAGGACTCAGGTTCAGTTCCCAGCACCCACATGGCAGCAGCTCACACCTGTCCATAACTCTAGTTCAGGGTTCCAGTGCCCTCTTCTGGTCTCCAAGAGTACCAGGAAAAACACACACACACACACACACACACACACACACACACACACACACACACACACACACACACACACAGAATACACACACATAAATGCAGACAAAACACCCATACACATAAAATGAAATAATTACTGTTTTAAGTAATGGTTATGTTTGTCCAAACCATGAGGTGGACACCACTGAGGATGAACTGCCTGACATGGATGAAAGTGGGTGTCACTAAGAGGACCAGAGGCTTTCTTGCCTCAGGAGAACAGAACCTGGAATACCAGGATCTGAGGTGACCAACAGCCGCCAGAGCCACTCCAGGCCGATATCTTTTTGGTCCCTTGTCTCCCAAACTTGAAGAACGAATTTAATGGGAGGGTAAGTTTTAGAAAGGAGTTGTTAGAAGTCAATAGTGAGAGAAGGAAAAGGTCAGGTCAAGAGAAAAGAAGTAAGCAGTGTTCCTGGGCAGCAGGGGCTGGGCCCCAAAAATGGACTGCCACAGTGGTTGGCTATAGATTAATAAGCCATTCGTTTATTTATTTGTTTGTTTGTTTTGATTGAGGTGTGTGGGGTGATCTGGTCAGCCTAGCTGACTCCTCCACAAGGTGTCCGTGTACCTCTCCATCCCAGGTAACTGAAGTGGAGTTTCGATCATTCCTTCATTTGCACCTTCCAGGCAGCTGGGCATAAGGAGAGAGAGAACAAGAAGCCAGATGAGGAGCTAAAGTCCACAGCACTTAGGGCATTTCTGCCCTCCAGCCAGATCAGAAGACATTCCAGCTTCTGTCCATGGACAAGGAGTGAGGTCCCCGTGCCTAAAACTGCCCGACACTCTCTACCTCCAAACTGGACTCTGGCTGTCAGCTGTGACAGGCTCCACTCCGTGGAGGATGTTGGTAGTAACCGAGGCTGTGCCCTGCAGCAGCAGCAAGGCAGGAGGCAGGAAGCAGCTGTATTGAAGAAGTCACCCATTCCTGTTGGATGCATTGGTCTCTCCCTTCTTCGTGTGTTTGTTTTTCTGTTTTGCGAGACTAGAACAGGATGATTTGTGGTGTAGTTGATTCCTTAAAAAATGAGATGTGCCCTTGACAATAATGTGTTTCACTAATACAAATTATGTTTTGTTCTATTTCACTTCTGTGTAGATGGAATACAATAAAAATCAAAGAGACAACAACACAGTGTCTGCAGTGAAAAGTCAAGTGACTGATGTAAAAAACATTATGCTGAGAAACATCGATACAGTTTTAGAAAGAGAAATAGAAACAGTGAGCATCATCACTGAAGGAGCAGAGGACCCCCAGGCAACGGTAGGTAATTTGCATGTACATTGACCTCCAGTGTGCAAAACCACAATGTCACTACCCTGGAGACAGCCTGCTCAAAGCAAAGATACACAGGGCTAGTGGGAGACAATACTTTGTAACCAAAAAGAAAGAAAACGGAGTGCAATAGAAATATTGAAGAATAATTCCAGGGCTGCAAGCCGGCTCACAGGTAAAGGCACTTGCTGGCAAGCCTGACCATTTGAGTTCTGTCTCCACAACAAAAAGAGTGGAGGAAAGAGTGAAATAAACTGTCCTGACCCCCACACTGGCCTGTGCCATGCAGGTGCACACATACATGTACATGTACATACACTAAGTAACCTTTTAAAAAGAATAATTGGATAGTAAATGACATTCAGGGATTATTATTAACTTTTAGGTGTGATAATCATGTATATATGGTTTTAAAAATCATTTAGAAAGATTCATACTAAAATGTTGTGGCTAAAATTACATAATATTGCAGGACGGTGGTGGTACAAAAGCCTTTAATCCCAGCACTCGGGAGGCAGAGCCAGGCGGATCTCTGTGAGTTCGAGGCCAGCCTGGGCTACAGAGCGAGATCCAGGACAGGCACCAAAACAACATAGAGAAACCTTTTTTGGGGGGATGAAAGGGGGCGGGGAGAAGACATAATATCTGAGCACTGGCTTCAGGCTAACTGTAGAAAGGGTTGCAGGTGAGGCAGACTTACCCTACACTGACAACTACAGAGATGTGTGTAGTGATCAGGTGACAACTTTCCTGAGTCAGTTCTCTCCTTCTACCCTGTAGACTCCAGGGACTTGCCACCAAGCAAGCACCTTCTCAGCTAAGCATGCTGGGATCTCCTGTTTGGCCACAGAGACAGCCTAGCCTCTGAGTGATTTTGGTTTCTGGCTGCATTCACACTAAAATGGCAGCTTGAGAAGTCACAACAGAGGCCATGTGGCTTGACCCTTCCTCATGACAGCATTTACATGGAGCAGTGTTCCACTTGAAGTTCCTTTGATGAACTAGTTTGTAACCTGCACTCCGACACTCACTTTCCCGACCCTGGCCCCGGGGAACCACGCGTCAGTTTTATGTTCCCACAGTTCTGAACTCTGTCCTCAGGCTTGGCAGCAAGGCCCTCACCTGTGAGCCATCTCATAGGCCCCAGCATTTTTTATTTTATACTGATGAAATCTAACATACCTGTTCCTCTCCAACCTGGTCTTGTGGTTCGATCCTCTTCTGAAACAGATCCATTTACCCTATTAAGAAATGCCATTACTTTTTCTAAGCACGATCTTCTTGTCCTTTGTCATCTTGATCAACATTAACATTGATTCTACCTTTTTTTGTTTGTTTGTTTGTTTTTTGTTTTTCGAGACAGGGTTTCTCTGTGTAGTTTTGGAGCCTGCCCTGGATCTCACTCTGTAGCCCAGGCTGGGCTCGAACTCACAGAGATCCACCTGGCTCTGCCTCCCGAATGCTGGGATTCTTTTTATTAACTTCCTTCCATTTCCCTGTCACCCTGATCTTTTGCCCTTCCCCATTCTGAGTTTTCTGTATTGTGAGCAGTACTATGTTAATATGTCTATATTATAAATATATCCCTTATAAATATATCCCTTAGACCTTCTGACAAAATTTTCCTGGGATAGTGGTCTATAAATTGTTTTCATCGTGTTAGCTCTATAACACGTTCCTGAAAGCTGGGCATGGTGGTGCATGCCTGTCATCTCAGCCTTCAGGAGGTAGAGGTAGGCAGATCTCTGTGAATTCAAGGACAGACAAAGCTCTGTAGATAGACCTTGTCTCAAAAAACCAAAAATAATTAAATAAGTAAATGAATGAACAAAATATTCCTGAGAATACATTTAAATATATGCATAAATTATATATATTATCTTAGAATGTCACATATATTATAAAATATACATTGAAACAAAAGTTAAAACATGATAAAATGAAATAAATATTAAATAAATTTTAAGAAAATAAACTTTTACTCATAAAAAATAATGTATTTGATAATGTGATTAATATTATAGCAAGTTAAATATTACTGTTTTTACATCCAAATAAGCAGATAGTGTACTCAGAACAGAAGCATATATGCATATATTCTCATTGTATTGAATGTGTCTATATTCTTTCTTACCTATATTAATCAGGACCTAGACAGGAATGGTGATATCTGAAATACTCATTTCATTCTAGTGGAATGAATACTCAAATGTTTCCCAACCAGCTGTTGATTTTATATTCAGATTTTGGTCCAATCCATTTACCAGTTTATGATAGCTACTCTGTGCTCCTATTCATTTGCTAGAAATGTTATCAATGTTAAATGTTATCAAATACCTTTTCTACATTGATAATGATTTTTCTTCTTTAATCTAATAATAGCATAAAATACTATTTGGATTCAGTGTGTTTGATTGAATGCCTTCTAAGACTCAATATTTTGTAATTGTGTGGTTATTGTCTCCAAAGATTACATCTAACCATTGATACAAACTATTTACAAAATGCCATGTGGTATATTTCCATATTATTTGGTCTGTGCTATTCCCATGGGTAGGTTTATTTTTCATTCCTACTCTTTTATGACTGTAACTAGCTGGAAGCAAATGGCTTGAATACTCCCTACTTGAGGCTTATATACTTAATCAGATATCTACCACAGGCCATGTTTTAATTAATTTATTATTTGTGTGTGTGTACGTTTGTGCACCTGTGCAGAGAAGCCAGAAGGGACCACCACCTGTCCTCCTCTGTCACTCTCCTCCTAGTCCTTTGAGGCAGGGTCTCTCCCCAAACCTGAGGCTCACTTTTTCTCAGCTGGGCTGGAAGCCAGCAAGCCCCAGTAATCCTATCCCCACCCCCACGACCTCAGAGCTAGAGTTACAGGGGCATGCTGGACAAGGGGGGTGGGAGTCATGACTGTGCAGCAAATGCTCTTCAGCACTGAGTCATCTCTCCAACCTCCAGAATATTCTCAAGTGGAGGCAAAATGCACTTAGTATAAAATCAGCATTTTGAAGTACACAGGAAAATGACAGTACATTTATAGTGCTGTATACTCATCACCTATGTCTAGTTCCAAAACATTTTCACCTCCCCAAAAGGAAACCTCACCAAATAGTCCCTCCCCAGACCATAGGAGACTGCATTCTGTCTCTAGTGGCTTATCTGTTGAGCACATTCCATAGAACCTGAATCATACACAAACTTTCCTATTTGTCTTCTGTCACTGGAGTGTTATAGACTTGAATTTTATTGATGCTGAAGCATGAGTAACTTCTTTACTCCTATGGAAATATATACCTTAACATTCCATATACCCCGTTTGCTTGTCCATTAATGAAACTGATAAACATTTGGGGCTTTGTATGTGTTCTTTTGTTTTGTGGTGCTGGAGTCAAATCCACTTCAAATCAAATCCACATGCTAGGTAAGTGCTGTACCACTATACTATATATGCAATTCTTGGTTTTTCAAGACATTATCTTACTATATAGCATAGGCTAGCCTCATGCTCAACAATCTTTCTGACTCAGCCTCCCAGTTGCTAGGATGTGGTGGTATTGTGTTCCCCAAAATATTGTGCACCCTAATAAACTTATCTGGGGTCAGAAACAGAACAGCCACAATATTAAACATAGAAGTTAGGCAGTGGTAGCACACGCCTTTAATCCTAGCATTCCAGAGGCAGAAATCCATGTGTTCAAGGATACAGCCAAGCATGGTGACTCACGCCTTTAATCCCAGAAAGCGAGCCTTGTTTTAAAAAAAGATTTATTTATTTGGTATGTATATAGTGTTCTGCCTGCATGTATGCCAGCAGATCAGAAGAGGGCAGATCTCATTACAGATGGTTGTGGGCCACCATGTGGTTGCTGGGAATTGAACTCAGGACCTCTGGAAGAGCAGCCAGTGCTCTTAACCTCTGAGCTGTCTCCAGCCCAGAAATCGAGCCTTTAATCCCAGGGAGTGATGGTAGAAAGCAGAAAGGCATATAAGGCATGAGGACCAGAAACTAGAAGCATTTGGCTGGTTAAGCTTTCAGGCTTTCGAGCAGCAGTTCAGCTGAGATTCATTCTGGATGAGGACACAGAGACTTCCAGTCTGAGGAAACAGGATCAGCTGAGGAACTGGCGAGGTGAGGTGGCTGTGGCTTGTTCTGCTTCTCTGATCTTCCAGTTCACCCCAATACCTGGCTCAGGTTTGATCTTATTAACAAGACTCTTTAAGATTCATGCTACACTAGGATTATAGTCATATGACATCACATCCTCTATTGTGAATAATGTAACTACTAAGTTTATGTACAGGCTCATTTTTTAATACATTTACTGTGGGTTGTGTATGCATGCGTAACACCGCTGTACCTGTGTGGAAGTCAGAGAACAACTCGTGGAAGCCAGTTCTTTCCTTCTAGCATAAGGTGTATGGGGATCAAATTCATGTTGTGAGACTTGGGGGCAAGCACCTTCACTTTCTGAACCATCTAGCTGGCCCCACAGGTTCATTTTCTTTTTAATAAAACTTTTCAAAATTGAAAACAGTTTTCAAATTGTCTTTTTTAAGGCAGGGTCTCTCTATGTAGCCCTAGTTGTCTTGAAACTCACTGTGTAGGCCAGGCTGGCCACAAACTCACAGAGATCTGCTTGCCTGCCTGCCTGTTTCCAGAGTGCTGGGATTAAAGGTATGCACCACTAGACTTGGCTCCCAGATCAATTTTCCATATACATGGGAGTCAAATTGCTAGATCATGTGGTAATTGTTTAACTACCTAAGGAACTGCCCAACCATTTTCTACAGTAACTGAATCATCTCAGCTTCCTGCCGTATCACTTCAACATTTGCTTCCTATTATTACTACTGGTGTTGCTACTGTAGTGACTATGATGCCTTGTGTTATTTCAAATTTCCTTAATGACAACAGTGTTAAGTGCCTTTTTATAGGCTTGCTACCATTCTGTGTGTCAAGATTACGTAAATCATTGTTCAAGTTCTTTGTTTGGAATCACATTGTTTTTGAGGCAGGATAGACTTTTAATGTACATTTTTAATTCATTGGCCTTCAATCTTCTTTTCTATTGTTTGGGCCCAAAAGTCAACATCATATCCAGTCTTTCAATGCTCCCCAAAGAGATGTACCCCAAATGAGTGCAGACTTACTTTAAAAAGAAGAATGAAAATGCCAGCATAGAAGGTAGCTGATGACACAGTCAGAAAGGGCCAAGGTCTAGGTGGAAGGAGTTCAGCCTAGAGTAATGGAGGTGGGCATCCAAGACCAGAAGAGGGAGGCTGGCTGGGCCCTGTTCCTTCTATCTCTACTTGCAAACCTGCCACCAGTTGCCTGCTAACTGCAACCAGTACCCACAAAGCACGACTGCCGTTCTGTATTCCATCCTTTCCTTCTACGGGGACAGATTCAGTAGGCACTTGGTGTTCAAAGCTATCACAGATGACTTTAGGAAATACTTGCCCTACATGGGTCTTCATGTCATCTGTACATTATGTCCACGTGCTTTTAGAGTTTTGTAATGACTACAGCTCCTATTTTTTTAAATGGCCTGTTCTTAATTATGTTGTATGGTATCTATGCACCTGAGTGCAAGCACCCAAGGCGGCCAGAAGAGAGGTCAGATAACCCTGGAGTCACAGGCAGTTGTGTGCTGCCTCATATGGGTGCTGGAATCCAAACTTGGGCCCTCTGCAAAGAGTGCTCTTAACCACTGAGCCATCAGTCCAGCCCATGCTGTCTCATCTCATACCACTCCAGTGTTAGAGGACTAGTAGCTGATGTAGCTACATGCCTCAGAACTTGTAGTGTTTTAACTCCACAGAGATTTGCTTTTCGTTGTATGAAAGTATAAGGCGAGCTTTCTGTGAGCAGCCTTGGCAGTCCAGGCTCTCTACCTGCTGTGACTGTCAGTGCCTTCAGCGTGGGAATCTTTCACTTTCATGGGGCAATTTCTTCAACAGTGAATGGAGAAGACATCTTTGCTTATTAGCCACTTCAGCCCAAAAGTGGGAGCATGGCTTTATTCATCTGACTGGTAAGACCTACTTTCCTGTCTTTCTGTAGATATGCAGCATGTGTCAGAGAGAGGAGCCTGAGATGGAGTCTGGGACTGGAGGTCTCTCGGCAGCCACAGCTGTGTGTGATGGGACCTGCACTGTAGATGGGAAACATCAGGCTAGCTCTTGACATCTACAGCCAAAGAAACCCTGAAGGAAATAGTCCAAGTAGATGGAGCATGAGAGCAGATGAAAAGCCCAAGTTTCAGGAATAGATGCTTTTTTAAAAGTGACCACTTTTTTGGTTACTTGAAGTCAGTCACTTGAAGTAAATATTGAGTGCAGCATTGTTGGTGAGAAGTAGTTGGATTCTGGATACATTTGTAAGGTGTTAAAATTGCTAAAATCCTGAAGATGAGGTGAGAAAGGAAGCCCAGGGAATCTGGGTGCTCGGGCCCTTGTTCACACAAGGGCTAGAAACTGCTCTCCTCCTGAGTCGAGGAGCAGCATGGCATGAGCTTTCACTGTTCCCAGGCTCCAGCTCTTATGCTTTCTTTCTTTCAAATCCAGCCGTATAATTAAATTGATTGTTTTACCTAGCATTTCTAGGTGATAGTACTTGGAAAGACTACAGGAATACTTAATCCACCATATCAATGGAGCTATCCTACGGCAAATGAGGCATCACCTAACCCAGAAAACACTGGCACAAAAGCCTTTTCCCCAGAGATTTCCTTTTACCTTGCTGTCTTACCTTACAATGCCCGACTTTATGTACACATTACATCTCCACTGCAAGAAAAACCATCCTCTTTCTGAAGTTAAATAGAAAAAGTCCAGAAAAATGGAGAATTTCATTGCCGTGGCTGTTTAAAGACAGGAACTCACTACAGAGCCATTCTGATTTTGCACTCACTCTGCCTCGGCCTCCCAAGGGCAGAGACTACAGGCATGCACAGCTTGTTCAGGCAAAAGATGAAATTAGGCTGCCATGCTTTACCATACCACCTGGATAGCAGACTCATTCTCACAAAGTTCTGCTTTGCTGCCTGTACAAGGTTTGTCTCTTCTTGTCCTTCTATAGACTCCATTGAACGGTCTTTAAATAAAAATAAATTTGAGCCGGGTGTGGTGGCACTCGCCTTGTAATCCCAGCACTTGGGAGGCAAAGGCAGGCAGATCTCTGAATTCGAGGCCAGCCTGGTCTACAGAGTGAGTTCCAAACCAACCAGTTCTGGATATCTGCCATCTTCTTCTGACCACTGAGGACTCCGGGCACACGTGCAAACAAAGCATGCACAAGCATAAAATAAATCTAAAAGAAAAAAATTTAAACAATAACTAAAAAGCAATGAGACCAGGGCTATGGCTCAGTAGTTAAGAACATGGCTGCTCTTCAGAAGGACCCAGAGTTTAATTCTCAGCACCTCCCATGACAGCTTTCAACCATCAGCAGCAGAGACCAAGTCTAATCTTCAAAAGGCTCACCTTTAATGACCTTCCAATAGCTAGTGCCACCTTCCAAAGACACCTCCAGGCTTCCAAAATAGCTCACTAGCTGAGGAACAACTGTTCAAAACACGAATATAGAGGACATTGCAGATTCAAATCCTAACAATCTCCAATTATGAAAATTGCTAGTAACAAAATTCTCGCAGGGCAGTCATCTTAGATGTGCCGTGTTCCCTTCCTCAGTAAAGCCTCACGGTCTGGGGCACTGCACAGCAGATCTTATTTTCTCCATTTAAATTGTCATGGATCCAGTAAACATTTAGCCTACTGTATGCCATGCACTGTCCCAAGAATGCATGCCATAATGCTTTCTCTTATCTAACATCATATGACATTTACTTACTAACTAGAAATAAAGAATTGAGAACATGGGGGCTGGAGAGATGGCTCAGCAGGTAACAGTGCTTGCAGCTCTTCCAGTGGTTCCAGCACCTGTGACTTCAGCTCCAGGCAATTCAATGTCACACACAAATAAATCTTTAAAAATAATTGAGAGCAAGGTGTCTAGAACAAAAATGTGGTAGAACTTTAAACTGGGTTATAAGGAATCCTTTCAGTAAAACCACAAGGAAAAGGAAAATGAGAAAACTTGCTCAAGGTCCCAATGTTAAGTCCCACCTCAGCACAGGCACCTAGAACCGTGGTGAACCGTGGTGCTTCACTTGACAAATCCACTGGGTCCTAAGGGCTGCTTTTGGAATTAGTTCAAACTAAACTATCAAATAGCCTTCCTAAGTATTTGAGTGTGCCATTAAGTTCAGAAATAGACAGAAAAAGAAGTCTAAGTTTGTATTTATTTTTATTTCAGGCTGAAGAATTTGAAAAAACAAGGAAGATTCCCAAGAGGATATGGTGGAAATGCTTCAAGATTGTAATTACCACCCTTACAATTCTCCTTTCAATCATTATCATTCTTTTAAGAACACACATAATACCCACCTGACCCTTCCTCCCCCCAAAGTACCAATAAATTGTTACATGGAATTAGAGTTCTGCATCCAGTAATGAATTGTTACATGGAATTAAGAGTTCTGTATCCAGTAATTCTGAATTCACCCGGTGGTACAGCACTAGAGGAAAGGATGACCGTTTCCTGACCCTCTGGCATCTTCCGACTCTTTTCTGTCTCTGTACCTCCATCTCACTAACACAGCTTCTCTGCTGTTGCCCTCCTTCCTTGGTTCCCTCACCTTGCAGACTGAGGGACACTGCACACCTTTAACCCCAGCACTCAGGAGGCTCAGGTGGGCAGATCTGAGGTCCAGGCCTATACCAAGAGTCTAGCTCAAACAAGAGACAAACAGCATGGTGACTCAGGCTTGTAATCCCAACACTCAAGAGGCTGAAGCAGGGCTGCTGTGAGTTCAAGGCTACCCTAAATTACAGTGTGGTCCAGGTACAGTGGTGAGAACTTGTTTCAAAAAGCACAAATTCTGTAATTATACTCCTGAAGCTCAACTCAGCTCTGCCACATATCACTTTTGTGTCTGTCTCAGGGACAAGTTACACCATGTCCTGTTCCTCATCTGGTGCCTGGTACTGACTGAATACACGTTTCCCAGAGTAATCTAAGTCTTATCTATTAATAGTGGTTACTGAGCTAATGCCATTACTAATAATCACACTGAAACCCATAATTAACCTTAAAATACCCTTAGAAATAAGAATTTGAACATGAGCTACAGCCTTGTCTTCCATGTTTCATTTGAAATGCAAGTTCAAACCACTGTTTGTTTTATAGGAGGCAATTCCTTGTGTACGGATCAAACTGGTAAGCCATATTCTAACAAGTCACAGGCCTCGCCCTCTCTTACCACCTGACAGCCCTCTGTCAAGACTTCTGACACAGAGCACCCAGCTCTGCTCTGCAGTTACTAACAGCAGTGGGAACCAAGGTCTTCTTCCTTTAACATTTATTCCCATGTATCTGTTGGTGTGCATATGCCAGTGTCCCTATGGAAGTCAAGGGACAGCTCTGAGCTTGTTCCCTCCTCCCACATGCATTCCAGAACTGCACTCGGGTCATATAGCTTGGCAGCAAGCACCCTCCTCCACTGAGCCATCTCACCAACTCAAGTTCTTACAAGTTTTAAGAATCATTTAGTTTCATGCCTGCAAGTACATCTCTTGGAAGCCTGGGGCAGATTTGTTCTTTGAGGCCAAGCCTAGGCTACATAGTATCTCAAAGAAAAGAAAATAGAAAATAACCCAGGCATGGTGGTACATTCCTTAGTCCTAGCACTTAGGAGGCAGAGGCAGGTGATCTCTGAGCTAGAGGCCAGCCAGGGCCACATAGAGACAAAAAAATAAAATACAAATTAAAATGGATTGATGGGAAACCACACCAGCTGATGCTTGAAAGAGCTGTGGTAATGAACAGTAGTCAACATTTCCAACAGCCACCTTGCTTGTTTATTCCTCTAACTAGAAGTACATCCCATTCACAATGTCATCCTGGTGGTTTACCCAGGGAAAAACATTGGCTGCTCAATACAGCCTCTCATACAGCATACTAACGGCCTGGGGGCAAGATGACACCAAATTGTACTGTGATGCTAAGAACCTTTAAGTCTATTAGTGTAAGGTGAAGTTTATAGGTCACTGGCAGACACATAAAAGCTGTTATGTGTATTATTTTTATTTTAGATTAGAAAAAAAGGCCAACCTAAAGACAATATCACAGAGCTTCAAAGTTATATTTACTGAATCAGATACTCACTGATAATATAGCCCATTTGAATTTTGAGTGTCTTGTTTGATCCCTTAATTGTGGATCAGACAGGACAATCAATTGTTTTAGGCAAAAGAATTTGAATAGTAAGAAAAATTGTCACATCTCACTGTTAATATTTTTTAATCCATATAAAACTGGCCTAACAACTTAGTGGTTATAATTCTATATATAAAACACATGTATTCTAGGAGTACATATTAGCATAATTACTAAAAAGTTAAGCACTATAACATCACCTAACCTAGTTCCCTCATCTTACATAACAGAAAACCAAGAACCAAAAGCCTCAAAGAATCCTGAGTCCTTTGGGAGGTAGGGGTAGGGATCAAGCCCAGGACCTTGCCCATACTAAGGCAAATGCTATCCCCCAGCTACAGAGGCCCAGTCTTGAATTTTGAGCACATGGCCATTGAAGAGCACAGTGGAAGCACAGGCTGTTGCTCTTGGCTCCAGGCTGAAGGAGTCTCCATGCTTCCTTCCTTCCTAGTCTTGAGACGAACTGAAGGGTTTTTCAGAGAATGTGAATGCACAAGTTGAAGAAAGCTTCCTGGAGGGAGGAGAGCAGTTGTTCAGAAATGACTCCCTGGTCTCTGCGCTTAGGCTGAGGAAGTACAGTGGAGTCACAGGCATCTCGTTCATTTAGGTTTTCCAACTGGCTGTAACCCAGCTCTGCACCAAGCAGCTCACGTGAGTTAGCACAGAGGAATCGTGTCAGAAACTGAATGACGTCTGTACACACAAGTGGCAGTAATGCTACAGAAGTTAAAGGAAGCCAGAGAAATAACAGCTCCAACAGTATCTACACATGGAGCATACTGCACAGCAGAGAATAAATTCAAGAAACAGCCAAGACAGGCATAAGTCACTAGATGAGTTACAAGGGAGTTAGGACTTGGATCCTCCAAAGTTCCATTTGTATCAACAGTCAGAAGCAGCCCACTTCAGCACACAACACGCTGGTAATTAGATTCTTCATCTTCCCAACAACTGAGATCATTTTCATTGTACACCCAAGACGACTGAAGCCCAAGTTGTCATGTTGAGTCCCTTGAACTAGTAAAAGGAAGAAAACCAACACTAAAGGCTGCTGGAGGTGTGGCAGGCTTTGTTGAACACAATCACGCAGTCGCTCGGTCTACAACACAGCCTAGCTTTTGGTTCTCTTTATTTCTAACTCCCTACTGCCCTCTCCACCTCTACCCTCTAAATACCAGTTCTCCAACTGTTACTACAGCCATTGGATATTATACAAGCACTTCAAATTTTACATTCCCTAACTCAACCCTACCTTCCTTCCTTTCTTCACAAACCTCAATTTAACTGTATTTCTAGTTTCAGTACATGCAATTTCCAGTCATCTGCAACCATAACAATCTTGAACTCTTCCCAATCTGTCAGCAACACTACAAGACTCCTTTGTCAAAGTTGTCTAAGTTTCATAACTCAGGTAGCCCCAGACCTACAGAAACAAGAGATCCTTCTAGAGGGCCCTGCTACATACTTCTCTCTTATGTGTCCAGCAGACACTGATCAGCTACTTCCTCATTTATAAACTAACTAGATACACACAGCAGATATGAAGCTTGGCTCCCAAGCGTCAGCATTAGAATCAGAAATCTTAAGACAGGTTTTACTATGCCGCCCTGGCAGGCCTTGAACTCAGGTTATCTGAGATGAGATTAAAGGAACATGCCACCACCAGGCTAGATTCAGAAATCTTACCAGGCACCTGGGCTCTACTTCTGAAAATACTGTCACTCTGGGATAAGACCCTCTGTATGTTTATAGTTTCATGAGGCAAAAAAGTTCTAACTTCAAAGTATTTAAACATGCCTCAATTATGCCCACAGGTGAGGAAGTTACTATAATTTTATAGATGGAAAAACGGATGTTTGGAGAAGTTTTAAATCGCCCAGTATCAGTAGGCAAACAGCAAGATTAGCACAAGATTTGTTTGCAATCATCTGTCCCATTCAATGTATTAAACTGCAAACTTGACAATCTGCTAAACAGAAAGCACCATTCCATGTAACACGTTCAAAACTCACAAGACTCTTGAAAAATTCATTTTGTGTGAATTATGGCAAAACCCATTTAATTCTACTTTTTTTCCTTTTTAAAGAATAGACTAGTTTCAAACAGGTTATTTGTTAAGACCGGCAACGCGACCTGGCAAGGGCAACACTAATCATAACCCACATTCCTCTAACAGTGGTTCTCAACCTTCCTAATGCTTCGACCCTTTCACAGAGTTCATGTTGTGGTGACCCCAACCATAAAATTCTCATTGCTACTTCCTAACTAATTTTGCTAGCTGTGAATCATAAACATGTTTCCTGATGGTCTTACGACCTGTTACAGGGCGGTTGATTATCTCTACCACCACTGCCACCTCCCCCATCCCAAGGTGGCAGCCCACACGCTGAGAACCGCTACTCTAAAAGAACAAGTTGGTACAAGCCTGCAATCCCGATGCTTGGAAGAGGTTGAGGGAGGACAGGCTCAAGTTCAGGGCAGCCGGCTAGGAGTGACACATAGCAGACCCAATCTCAAAGACAAAAATGAAAACAAGACACAAAGAGAATGCAAGTGCCCTTCTGTTTCCTGAATTTACACTACTGGGAAGACCTTGTTCAATGTTGCTGCCATTAAACATCTAATTCAATTTGCTGTTTTCTAAAAATAATAGTGGTCTCATCACATCTGGCAACACACAGCCAAAGAGCAAACTCTTTCATACATAATCTCACCGCCCTCAGGAGTGACCTGGAGAAAAACTGGAACAGCCTTTTTCTATCTGATTCTTCAACTGTAGTAGTTTTTGACCACCTGTATAGAAACACTAATTTTCAAATGATCCATTATTTAAAGTTTTATGTGACATTTAACCATTACAGTTCTCTTACCTTCTCAACTAAAAACAAGGTCTTTATTTAAAGACCTTCATCCAGAATAGCCTAAACTGGGGGGTAAAAAAGACAGTGCAAAACATGCATGAGTGCTATAAAAGTTTAATTGTAAGACAAAAGCACTACATTATAAACATTAAGTGATCTTTCAGAAAATAAAATTTAGTGCAAATTAAAACCTCATGAAAGCCCACTGTAAGCTTCATCTGAAGTGTAAGGAAGCCTCTACAATGGAAACAGTCCCAGTGGAATTGGTCTGGGAAGAATAAGTTCTGAAAATGGTAAACGGTACAGAGAATATCTTATAATTTAAAATGAAGTCAACCAAGTACTAAAAAAGACATGCTGATAGGTCTTAATACATAAACCTGATTGACAGTAGCATGCTTTATAGATCAGTGATTGTAGAAGTAATTTACAAGTTTCTGTTTCAAAGTTTTATTTACTGATTTAGCCATCTCTAATACTCAAAAGGCCATCTTCCAAAAATTTTAGTAAGGATTCCATTTCAGTCTCATACCAGTTGTATAAAAAATGTAATTAAACTCAATATAATCACGCCCATTCATACAACAACAACAAAAAAGGCAATTATGTAATTCCTTTTCTCAAGTATTTATTTAAAGCAGTGTCCATGACATGTTAATGTCACATTCAAGTACTGGCATTAACAGATCTCTTAAGTTCTTCCAGTATTTTTTTCCTAAAAGAAATTAAAGGCAAGGAAGTAACCTTGCCTTCAAATTCTAGAGTGCAAACAGAATACAACCAATTCAATTACAAATAGATACAAATTAACTTTTGAAGTGATGCTGCCAACATCAAGTTTCCCAAAATAGAATTCTAAAACCTTTTCAGTATAATTAATGAAAATCCCTCCCACTTTAAGTTTAAAATAACAAATTTGGACTGCTCTAACACCTTTGCTTTACACAGAATCTAATTCTCAAACACTGTTATGTACTCTTTTTTAAACTGGGGAATAAACTCAGGGCTTCCCTCCTTTAGCACAAGCCCAGCCCTAGTACAATTTCCTAAGGTCTTCCCCCTGCCCTTACAAGTACATCCTTCATCTTCCCTAAATCACATAGCTCCCTGGATCCCAAGACTCTCTACCTAAGGCCATTTACAATAAAGCTGCCACAACCAGACATCCTTAAGACTTTAAGGTGCTCAGAACAACAGGGTAAATACACAACCAGTCCAACTCAAGAGTTCAACAGCAAGACAATTTCAGTCAGCCAGTGGTTAATCAATTCATAATGCAATGGATAACTCACATCACTGCTAAGAGGGTCAAGGTACAAACAGTAGGGATGCATATTGCCTGTAGAGGATTTAAAAACTGAAGTCAGTGTGATCCCCACTACGGCCACTCACTAGAATGCTAACAATCTTGAATATTTTTCTTCCATGCTAGATGTAGGATTACTTTATAAAATATGTATCTTTGTCTTTATAGAGATATGAGCAAAAACTAGAACACCTCATGGAACAGCACGTTTATTCTATCTTTGAGCACAGGTCTTTAATACATTAGCATAGCTAATGGGAGTTTATGTGAAAAAAAGAATCCCAGGCACCACTGCGTTACAATTCACAGATGTACGTGGCCTACACACCTCTATGAAGTACATTATAATCAACCTTCTTCCAATTACTAGATTATAGGCAATTGATAGCAAATTTCAACAATAAATTGAATTTGCACAATTGTGTATTTAGCCGGTTAGAATCATTTTACCCAAGGAAATTTTCAGATAAGAGTTCTAAACTATGCTAAACTGTTAACAGCTTTAATGTGGCCAGCGGTGAATAAAAGATGTACCCTTTTTTTTTCAGCCTTGCCAAAAAAATTGGTTTAAAAAAGAAAAAAAAAATCCATCACACTATTAGGAAATCACTCCAAAATAAATTAACTTCATTATTACTGTGTTAAGCATGGACCTAGAGCCTAACAATTCAGGTTAAAACCACCCCCACATCAAAAAAGGCATTATGTTTATAGGTCAACACCAACACTGTGCTAGATACTGGGTTCAATCCTTTTGGTTGCCAAGAATCCGAATACCTCAACATCCTAAACACAGAATACAAAAAGCACAAGGCAATCTTAACTAAAGAAATATTCCAAGCATAAAAGCACACAAACTAAACAAGTTTCTAATATAGAACTTTACTGTAGTATGAAACTTAAAGACAAACTTACTCAGGGTGAGCTGCCTTCTCCACAACACACTGAATTCTAACTTGGGAGCAGCATACAATGAAGCAATTGTCATCCCTGTGCACAGAGAGTAAATACAGCGGCACGGCCTGACTCTGTAATACATACTAAGTTAAAAAGGACAAACAGAACCAACCCCAGGAAGAGAAATCAACTCATCTGATAGTGGATACCTAGTAAACCAAGATAACAAAATTGACTCAGGACAGGGTAGCCAGAAAGCTCATTGCTTGAGGGTAAGTGGGATTGGCAGTACTAACAGGTCTACCCTGAACTAAGATCAAAGCTACCTAACAGTCGACCAAGAAAGCGTTCCTGTAACTGAACTACAACTCAAAAAGAGTAATAAGTTGTCAACATTTTAAATTACCTGCTTTATTTCCCTCAGGCTTCTCACCACTAACGACCCTACACCTACAAACATGCACACACACCCATTTACTTTCCTGAAATTCTACTAAATACCAGGGATTTTTTTTAATGCAGGTGGTGGGAGGCATAAAATAAGAAGTAAGTTTAAGAGTTTATGAGCAAACGTTAAGAAAACGAGTATTCTGTGAGCATGGAGGGGATTTCAAAATACCCCTCCAGAGCCCCCAATGACCTAAGATGTGGTAGCCTAAGTAACTGGTAGACATATGGGTAGAGAACACAGGACTGGTTTAAAGTCTGAGGTCAATGTAAGACGGCCAGATCTTCCAGCAGCCAATGGACTCTCCCATCCTGGCAAGAAACTAGTATCTCTGAAGCAGTTGCAGTGGTTCTCTGGACACATCCACCTGCCTTCTTCCCTCTTTGAGATGAGAACACTGCAACTCGGGATTTTATCCTTCAGGCAGAATGGAAAACTCCAGCAAGCCTGACCAGAGAATGAAGAATAGAAGTTCATTTTTTAAAGTGTGAGCCAAGGATCACTTAGCGTCCGATGAAATTTCTGAACAGGAAGAAGTCCAAGCAACAGGATGTAATGTAAAGTGCCTTTGTAAAGTGTTCTGTCTTTAGGCTGAGTTTTTTTGAATGCCCAGGTCAGCCTTGAAATGAGCTCAAGTGATCCACTTCAGCCTTCCCACGATTGAGATTAAAGGATTATCCTGTCAGTAAAGCCTTAGAGGAGGAAAAAAGATGAAGGGCACAGGTAAGATTAATTAGAACAGGATGGAGAAGAGCATCGGAGAAATTCCAAGATGAATTGTTTTTCATTTAAATTGTAGAAAGTGGAAATTAGGAAAAAAGTTGCCCAGGGCTCAGGACC